AAATCAAAAGAATTTGTAAACAATTGTAGCCTGTAGAGTGAGCACGAGTTGCACAATATAGCTAATAGAGTGAAACGTCAAGTCAGACACGATATTTCGGTGAAATATTATCCAATCATCGCGAAAAACGATAGGGATCATCTTCATAATGACATTGACATACAAAATAAAAATCAAAAGAATCTGTAAACAATTGTAGCCTGTAGAGTGAGCACGAGTTGCACAATATAGCTAATAGAGTAAAACGTCAGGTCAGACACGATATTTCGGTGAAAAATTATCCGATCATCATGAAAATCGATAGATCATCATGAAAATCAATAGGGATCATCTTCATAACGACATAGACATACAAAATAAAAATCAAAAGAATCTGTAAAAAATTGTAGCCTGTAGAGTGAGCACGAGTTGCACAATATAGCTAATAGAGTAAAACGTCAAGTCAGACACGATATTTCGGTGAAAAATTATCCGATCATCACGAAAATCAATAGGGATCATCTTCATAATGACATTGACACACAAGATAAAGATAGCTTGCCAGGCAAGGTAACATACGTCCACTGGCAGCTGTCAGAAATGATTAAACAGTCTTTAGTGACTACAGGGTTGCACAATATAGCTAATAGAGTGAAACGTCAAGTCAGACACGATATTTCAGTGAAATATTATCCGATCATCACGAAAATCGATAGGGATCATCTTCATAATGACATTGACATACAAAATAAAAATCAAAAGAATCTGTAAACAATTGTAGCCTGTAGAGTGAGCACGAGTTGCACAATATAGCTAATAGAGTAAAACGTCAGGTCAGACACGATATTTCGGTGAAATATTATCCGATCATCGCGAAAATCGATAGGGATCATCTTCATAATGACATTGACATACAAAATAAAAATCAAAAGAATCTGTAAACAATTGTAGCCTGTAGAGTGAGCACGAGTTGCACAATATAGCTAATAGAGTAAAACGTCAGGTCAGACACGATATTTTGGTGAAAAATTATCCGATCATCACGAAAATCAATAGGGATCATCTTCATAATAACATTGACACACAAAATAAAAATCAAAAGAATCTGTAAAGAATTGTAGCCTGTAGAGTGAGCACGAGTTGCACAATATAGCTAATAGAGTAAAACGTCAAGTCAGACACGATATTTCGGAGAAAAATTATCCGATTATCACGAAAATCGATAGGGATCATCTTCATAATGACATTGACACACAAAATAAAAATCAAAAGAATCTGTAAAAAATTGTAGCCTGTAGAGTGAGCACGAGTTGCACAATATAGCTAATAGAGAAAAACGTCAAGTCAGACACGATATTTCGGTGAAAAATTATCCGATCATCACGAAAATCAATAGGGATGATCTTCATAATGACATTGACACACAAAATAAAAATCAAAAGAATCTGTAAAAAATTGTAGCCTGTAGAGTGAGCACGAGTTGCACAATATAGCTAATAGAGAAAAACGTCAAGTCAGACACGATATTTCGGTGAAAAATTATTCGATAAAGTCTTTAATAGCTTGATTATGAATTTCAAATGATCTTAAAAATATTTATAAGTCAAAGCAAAGCCTCAAAAACAGTTCATTAAATTATCATTAAATTCAATAAGGTCTCATTGACGTACCATCAATGGCAATAACTCTGAAACTGTTCATACGATTATTACCTGTAAAAGCTTTAGCCTCTTTCATGCCCACATGCCAAATTTGACCGTTCATCTGATTACCACCAATTTTGAATTTGACCGCGATCTTATCAATATATATATACATACAAAGTTTCATGTAGATCGGATATAAACTGTAGTCTCAATCATGCGTTTTTACTAACTCAAGGGCATTTACTCAGAAACCGTTCATCTGAATAATACCAATTTCGAATTTGATTGAGATCTCATCTATATATACATACATACCAAGTTTCATCAAGATCGGATCAAAACTGTAGTCTCTATCGTGCCTACAAGAAAAATTTACTAGGTCAAAGGCAAAAAACAATTTTTAACTTTTTTTGCAGTGCGTTTGTTTTGCAAATGGCTTTCTTTTCTTTTTTTCGCATTCTGGTCACAGTTTAGTCATGACCTCTTTTGAATTACTGCTCTAATTCTAAATCTATTTTTGATCGTAATTTTTGTTTTGTTCATTACTATTTAGTAATGGCTACAGGATAGCATTTTAAAATCTATCAGATTTTGACTTTAATAGCTGACTTTTTTTGTTTTATTTTTAGCAGTTTTTTCAACTTCTACTATTTTATTTCAATCAAAATTTGAAATTTGTTAAGACATTTTGATAGCGAACAAAATTATGCTTTCTTACTGAGTAACTGTGACTCAATGCAACGTTTCACCGATATATCACCTAGAATACGCACTGCATGAGCACCGTCCATGGATCTAGTCTTTTTTTTTTTTCATTCATTCATTATAATATTGTCATAATGGGCTGAATGTTAAACAGGACAATGTCCTTGTGTATTGGGCCTAATTCTGACCCATGTAATATAAAGAGATTATTATCATTGTCGGATAAAAACTGCAGTCATATTCGCGCCTACAAGCCAAATTGATGCTTTTTTACTAATTTAAGGGCAATAACTCTGAAACGGTTCATCTGAATAATACCAATTTCAAAACTGACCAAAATCTTGTTTCATCAAGATCGGATTAAACCTGTAGTCTAATGCGCCTACAAGCCAATTTAACAAGGGCAAAAACTCTGAAACCATTGATCCGATTGTAACCAATTTCAAACAATTTCAACCGAAATCTCATCTATATATACATGCATACCAAGTTTCATCATGATGGTATAAAAACTGTAGTCTCTATCGTGCCTAGAAGAAATGTGACGGACAGGGGCAACGGTAAGATCAAGTTCTTTTTTTTTATCAAATTACTTTCGTTCAGTTTTTATAAGCTGACATGGTAATATGGACATATAAAAACGGAACAAAAGTAATTTATCAATTATCAATTTATCAATCCTGATAATGAAAAAAGAAAATAAATAATTCAGAAAGAACCATTCCTATTCAATGCTACGTACCATATGCTAATCTTTTAGCTAGGTAATTTGAAAGAGTATCAAATGGGGAACCTTTTTTATCTATTGGTTCATCTTCTAATAGTCCTAATCTAAAATATCAAATTGTGATATAACAAACTTGTATTGAATGATCATGGGATTTATTAATCTATAAGACTCAGACCGCTAAAAAATTCTGCACTGAAGATTTGTAAAATGTAGTCGTTAAGACATTCCATTCTCATCCCTTTTTTTTTATTTTGAATATGAAGAGATAAGAACATGTGTAAAAATAGTTGTTTCTTGTATAGACAGGGTCTAATTTTGGTTTAGGTATTGGTTGATACTACAAAATCTGATTCGAACTATTTAGTATGAACTGACTCACTCTATAATAGAACTTAAACTGTAGTCATCTTTACCGATATGATGATAAACTAAATCTTTTAATGAATCCACTAAAATATCATCAGATTTACCAAATAGGTCACACATAAACTTTTTCTGAAAAATGTAAAATTACATGCAACAAACATGTTATGTATGCAATCTGTGACAGTCAGTTACTATCAACTTTCTAGGAGGTGATGACAATTTGATTGAAAATTAAGATATTTAATTCAATCTTTTACCATACCTAATTATGTAACTTTTCCAACTCAATATCCTAGATAATTCCATGGGCTATTCCAATATTCTATTTAACGATGACTTTGTAGTAGCCTTGACAAGGTCTATTGGAGGACATTATGTTTGAACAATTAATCTTGATTGACATACCATTAGAAAACTAATATGTTATTAAGAAAATGAATAAGATATTAAGAGAAATATGACGTACCCATGATAGTTCTGGTCCATTAGGATGTAAATTAGAATGTTGGGACATATCAAATAGACCCAAAGATATCAGTGATTTCACAACTTGTGAGAAACCCTAAAGTATAAAAATATCAAATATACTGAATATAGACATAGGAAAGTATGTCTTGCATCTACATTCTATATGGTCGAAATGTCAATTTTTTTTTTTTTTTTTTTTTTCGAAATTTACACACCTTCCTGAGCTTAGACTACAATAGTTGCAGCAACCATTCAACATTCACGAACCTTAGATATAGGCGACGAAGTGCTTAAGTATATTTTGGATCTTTTTTGCAAAACCGGAAGTGCCACAGTTCAATATGTGCAAGAATAGATAATCAGCTCTAGAAGTCATATTTTTCGGTCGATTTTCTTTGGGTTTGCATTTTTGGAATCTACTGTTAAAATCTGAAAGAATAGCAGTTTCAAAATTTCAAAATTCGAAAATTTGTCGCAGACATTTTTTGGCCGATTTTCGAAATTTTTGGACCATTTTTCAGTTTTTTTCGTATTAATCTGAAATTTTGATGAAAGATGCATGTCACTAATGTAAACCATTTGACGTATTCAAAATTTTTGCGTCACTTCCAGTTAAAGTGGAAAATCGATTTTCACTTCCGGTTGAATAACTTATTTCAACGAAATTATGTATATCGTTATTAATCTTAATTCTATGGCCGATTTTAAAATAAAATTTAGTCCGCCATCTTGATTTGATATTTTTTCATAAAACTCAAAATGGGGCTTCGGGGGAGAATGGGATTGGTCAAATTTTTATGTTGGTGTATACTTTAGTCGATGGCAAGAAAAATGTTGGAAATGGATTTTTGAATTTGACTTTTGCTTTTTTGCAACTTCCGGTCGAATTTTTTCAATTTTTGAAGGCTTGTATCTCGTGACCTTGACCTTTGATGACCTTGACCTTTTTTAGGTCAAAGGTCATTGACCTTGGCTATCATTTGATACTTTGACCCCAGACATGTACTTCCGGTTTTATAGCTATCCGTAAAAAGCCAAATTCGCAACTTTGGACTGCTCTAACACGTGACCTAATTAACCTAGAGGGTTAATTTTTTTGGTTTCCTAATGTTCTTCTCATGCACTTTACATAGATATAGAACAATTGCTTTTTTAAAGCAAAATTGAAATTCGTGATTTTTTCAAATTTGAGTTTTGTTTTACCATATTTGTGTCTTTTTGATCTTGGTGTATGTATATCTTATGACCTATTTTATGGAGAACCTTGATATTTGGAATACAATTAGACACTTTGAATATGAATTCACCTATGGCAAAAAAATTGGGGTGGGCGTGGCACATCCGGGTTGAATTACTAATTGTTTACATCTTGGGGCTGGGGCATAACTCGCATAGGATACGTTTGTTATAAAAGGGACTTTGCACACAATTACCTCATCCTTTTGGCCAGTTTGTATTAACAGCTCAGTTGTTTCAGCTTTATAGTTCCAAAAAAGGAACGGGTTTTAACATTTGGATATTTTCATTTTTCGATTTTGACCTTTGTTGACATTTGTTGACCTATATCTTTTGACTTGAATAATGTAGAAGCTTGAAATTTGAAAAACAACATAACATTTGGAATATCATTTACCCTATGCAAAAAAAAATTAGGGTGGGCGTGGCACATCCGGGTAATATTACTCATTATTGATATTTTTGGCCAGGAGCATAACTCGCAAAGTATACGTTTGTTCAAAATGGGACTTTGCATACAATTATCTCATGAATTGAGCCACTTTGTCTTAGAAGTTCGGTTGTTTCCGCTTCTTAGTTCAAAAAAAGGAACAGGTTTTGAAAATTCAAAATTTTCAATTTTTGACCTTGACCTTTGATGACCTTGACCTTTATTAGGTCAAAGGTCATTGACGTTGTCTATTAGTTTATGCTTTCATATTTGACCTCTGACGTCTACTTTCGCTTTTATAGCTGTCCAAAAACATCCAAATTCGCAACTTTGGACTGCTCTAGCACGTGACCTAATTAACCTAGAGAGTAATTTTTTTCGGTTTCCTAATGTGCTTCTCGTGTACTTTACATAGATATATAACAATCGTTTTTTTAAAGCAAAATTGAAATTCGTGATTTTTTCAAATTTGAGTTTTTTTTTTACAATATTTGAGACTTTTTGAGCTTAGTGTATGTATATGTTATGATCTATTTGATGTAGAACCTTGATATTTGGAATATAACTAGACACTTTGAATATGAATTCACCTATGACAAAAAAACTTATGTGGGCGTGGCACATCCGGGTTGAATTACTAATTGTTTACATTTTGGGGCTGGGGCATAACTCGCATAGGATGCGATTTGTTCAAAAAGAGACTTTTTACACAATTACCTCATATTTTGAGCCACTTTGTCTTAGAATTTTGGTTGTTTCCGCTTCATAGTTCAAAAAAAGGAACAGGTTTTGGAAATTCAAAATTTTCAATTTTTGACCTTGACCTTTGTTGGCCTTGACCTTTGTAGGATCAAACGTCATTGGCATTGGCTATCTATTTCTACTTTTATATTTGCTGTCCTAAGTCAATTTCTGGTTTTATAGTCGTTAACAATTTGAAATTTTAATGGCGTATATCTCTTGATCTTGACCTTTTTAGGCCTTCTCCTTTACAAGATCAAAGGTCATTGACCTTGGCTATCTGCTGATACTTTCATTTGTGAGGTCTGACGTCCACTTCCAGTATTAAAATCTTCCAAAAAAGGAAAATTTCTCAACTTTAGACTGTTCTTGCGCTTGATCTAATTATCGTGGAAGGTTGATTTTTTCAGGGTCTTTTGCATTTTGCTACATTTGCAAAGTCCCACTCTGTGCCACGTGTGGCTCTAGTCAATATTTTTCCTATGGTTGTTTTTAAGAGGGAAGTACTACATTTAAGGTGGAAGTATATAGATGTAAATGTACTTGGTGACCAATTGCATCATAAAATCAAGGTGCCTAATTCTGGAAGAGTATCAAAATCTGTTTACAATGTATCTTCTACAAATAGATAAATCAAAGACTTAAACTATTTACCTCATATCTTATAGTACCACGTAATATAGTAGTAACATTGTCAATACCATAAGCTTTAGCATAGGATGTTGAGTCTCTGTTGGGATAACCTTCTAGAGCAAACCCTGGCATAAACTGTAATTTCATGGTAGAATCCAACAGTTCACCCTCTTTAACTTCTAAAATCTATAATTATATTGATCAATCATAGATACATGTAGAATATACATGTCTAATCATATATAACTTCAAGCCCTTATGGTTTTGTCAAGAGTGAGATCTGACATAAAAAGATTTGAATGGAAAATGTTATTCAATTATGTCTGAAATTCACATCAATTTTCAATACTGGAAATTGTCAAATTGAATACAGCAATAAAAATGTAACAAATCCAAGTGATAATAATGATATTATCTATGGTACTAACCTTATTATCCTGTTTATATTTAGCTCCAGCTAAACAATTCATCAATACTCCTTTAGGTGACCAACTAAATTTATAATGTAATGGTACATTAGAACATTCAGGGGCAGGTAATCCACCACACCATGATATATATGACTTTATCTGTAATATTAGATCAAATATAGTACAAAACTTTCTGATTGAAAATGACTACTATGAACAACAATAATAAAGTGACCAAATGTGTATTTAGAATTTTTTGAAGAGTTGGGGTAAAGGTTTGAACTGAAAATACAGAGAATACCTAAAACCACAGAAATGTCACATTTTGCGTCTCCAGAAGGGTCGTACAATTAAGAATGAGAACGATCAAGGATCAAAAAAAAATTTTTGCAAATGATCTGATATAGCAATGTCACATATTATTATATTCTGAAAGGATTGTCTACAAGAGAGATTTCACCTGACCACCATCACTTTTAACTTCATCAAAACACTGCATTGCTATCATGTGATCAATACCAGGATCTACACCTACTTCATTGAGAATAGTTACACCAGCTTCTACAGCTCTACAAATATATCAACACAATTAGCATATGACAATACCTACAAACATTTCTGAATTTAGATCCATTGATTAAAACTAATTGTTTGTTGCAATAGTTATTATCAGTGATTGAAATTAGGTCGATGTACAGTGACAGATTATCGGTAAAGTAGAAAATGGTAGATAACCATGTTGATTCCTGCCCTTTAATTGAGACACTCTTTTAGGCATTTAGAAACACAATACCTCATCTATCCATTTGATTGACAAAATTTGGATTAAAACCAGTTATTTTGGTTCAAGAAATTAATAATTTGGCGACAAATCGACAAATGTGGTTTCAGTGGGGAAATAGGATAACAGAACAGATATCTTACTTTTTATGAAGATCTTGCATGGCTGGAGATACATAACTTGCTGTTACCATATTAGTTTTATTTTTAATACATAGTTCAGCTACTGTAGGATGATAGGAGTAGGGTAATAAACTGAAGAAGATAACATTAAAAATAATGAATATTTGATAACAGCATCATGTTTATGATTTTAGAGATTAAAAAATGTTGACTTTTCCTTCTCTATTTAAATATGTACCAACTTGATAAAAAATAGGTCTGGGGACCATCAGATTAAAGTGGCTCCTATTCCTAAATCTCTCTAAGTTATTCATTATTAGTATATTTACATGGTACATGTATTAACTTCCATAAAAAGTCACAACAGTCCATTTAAGTTAATGACTATTCTAAAGAATATCTTTTTACCTCACAACTACATCATTAGCTGGTATTAAAGATTCTAAACCTTGATCATCAACATCTAATACTATAGTTTCAGCTCTTGGACATTCTTTAGCTATCATATCTAACTCATCATTAAATTGGGAAGCTAAAATATCAAATTTTACATGTTCAGCATAAAATGAGTCTTAGGTGATAAATGAGTTTGATTATCACCTTAAGTTTCTAGCCAAGGACAAGCCCACAGCTACAGGGGGGATACAGGGAGGCAATGCCATAATGTTTACAGTTTTTCTGTCGAGGGCTCGGTCAAATGTATTCGTTGGCATACAATCCAAATCGCTACATCCTGTGATACAGGAATAGTGGCTATTGCAGTCAAGGTCTAAGATGAAGTTCGTAATAACTTGACATTTTGAATATAGTTTTTTGATGTGGATGTTTAAAAACTAACCAACTGTAACATGTAGTTTTTTATCCCGTAAGAGATACTCTATAGCAGGGGGAGAAACATAACCTGCTCCTAATAACAATACCCTCTTCTCTATATCTTTATCAACACTTTTAGCTTTATGATTAGACCTAAAAAAAATAGCGATACAATCGTAATACGCTCACATTTGTAATGGCAGCTAATTTGTTCTGGAGGTTGACAAGAGTTATCAGTACATCAATGTTTCTGAGAGTGAAATTTTCGTATTTCATGGTTTTTGTTTACAGCTTTTTTATTCAAGTGGGATTAATTTAACATGTCAAGTTTCATTTAATCCATATAGAATCTTTTGAGTGGCAGCAAGCGGCAAATCTTTGTGGAGAGACAGAGAGACAGAGAGAGAGACAGAGAGACAGAGAGACAGAGAGACAGACAGACAGACAGACAGACAGACAGACAGACAGACAGACAGACAGACAGACAGACAGACAGACAGACAGACAGACAGACAGACAGACAGACAGACAGACAGACAGACAGACAGGGTTTATCCTTGGGTGATTACAAACACTCACACCAAGTTTTGTCAGAATACAACACGAAACCAGCTCTCTATCGTGTCCACAAACAATTCAAGAACAAGGGCAATAACTCATAGTAAATATTTTTCGATTCGTCTGATTTTCAATAGGGTTCATCCTTGGGTGATAACAAACACTCACACCAAGTTTCGTCAAAATCCATCAAGAAACCAGCTCTCTATCGTGTCCACAAACAATTGTGGACGGACGGACGGCGACGGCAACGACTTTATACGAATGTGGGCGTATAAAAAACACAATATCAATGTCAGCTACATGATTATTGCCAAATTGGAATTGTTTTTTTAATTTTCTCTTTCAGTGAAGATCTTCAGAAGTCTGTAGAGTCCCTTTGTGAATACATGAATTACAATACAGATAGGCCTATAAGAGGACATAAATTTGCTTCAACTCAATTTATCATTTAAGTTTAACCATTTAAATAGGTAGCCACTATTTTCATTACACATAGTGATCTAAGTAACACACATTCATTAAATTAGCCATTTAATATTTCGTAGCAATCTGAAATGTAAAAACACTAAACAGATAACTATTATTTTTTACTAAATAAGTGTTGTCTGAAAGGTTAGCATATTAATTTGAGTTATTTCCCTTAGTCGACTTAGATTAAAAGACCTACAGTAGACTACGCCACCACATAATTACAGGCCATTTATGAATTAGAAGCTGAAAATACAATCATCTATTTGAGATAATATTATATACACAAAACTTACATTTCTAAAAGAAAATTAAAATAATATAATCCAGATTTTATACACCTGTAAAAAATATGCCTACTAAGCTACATCTATTGACCTTAACCTTACTAATAATAACTCAATGACCTTCACATTATATTTGTACTCTTATGAATAATGAATGGACACCAAGTTTATGAGTATTTCTCAGTTATTTGGCAACTTAAGATCATTTAGCACTTTTTAATGTAAATTGAACCTGCAATTATTGAGAATGGTGTGCCACTGCATTTCCAAGATAAGCGAAAGTCCGAAACAGAATGTGTTAGCCTATTGAGATATATTAGCTACAATTAAATTCAATCCAACTACTGATATTTACACACATAATAAATACAAATGTACAATAAGCCAAAGATTAAAAAAATTATATAAAAATTGACACAAAAACAATACTGGTACTCACAAAAAGCAATCAAGATTTCTTGTTAAGACCTGAGTGCATCTAGGGTTGTAACTAAGGTCTTTTTTTTCTATGAGAGAAAATTTTTTGCTTGTGTGAGTAGACTTTTGTTTTTTTTCAAATGTCAGCTTTGACCTTATATTATTTAATAAATATCAGCTTTGACCTTATATTAATTAGTAAATATCAGCTTGCACCTTATATTAATATGTAAATATCAGCTTGCATCTTATATTAATATGTAAATATCAGCTTGGACCTTATATTAATTAATAAATATCAGCTTTGACCTTATATTAATCAATAAATATCAGCTTTGACCTTATATTAATATGTAAATATCAGCTTGGACCTTATATCAATTAATAAATATCAGCTTTGACCTTATATTAATTAATAAACACTAACTATAGTTAGGTAGATGAGAAAACTCAGTTATTTGAAGTTTATTGTTACCTGTATCTTACATACATAATTTATATAGATAAATAATGGGTCATCAAGTAAAATCTTTTTACTTATAGATAAAAATGTCATAGTTGAATTATTTGTAAATGCCAAGCAATATGTAAAAGCTTGCTTGTTTAAGATTAATTCTGTGTTGAGGTTAAAACTTGCACAAGTAAAAATAGATTTTGTCTACAGACTACCTTTACAATGAAATAAATTGTAATGTTTTTTGGATTTTGTCAAATATTAGTATATTAAATCAGAGGCACTCGAGGATATGTTTTCATCAATATAATTCTATTTTCATTACTGAAAACAATCTTTCATATACATACCCTATCACTTCAATATATCCAGTGCAGAACTCTTGATCTGAATCCATTTTGTTTGATTTTATCATAATGGGTACGTTAAGATTTGTATTGAAATAATTGTTTTCAAAAAATTATTCTGTCACAAAAAAGAGAAACTTATGAATAGGACAGAATTTTTGAACTAGGATATTTCATTTTCCAACATCAACCACCTGCAATGTGCTATAAAAATTTACTACAGCAAAATATGATACAAATCTAACAAATACAACAGATCTACTCAGTACACTATTAAATCTTTCAACATTTAAGATCTACGAATATCTATAAAAACTGAAAATTCAAATGATTTTTTATCACTAACCTGCCGAACCTGTAAATCATATACATATCTTTAATATTTAATTTTTTTGTGTATAATCGTACTAGGTTTTATTACCCTATAAACTGACATGGTTCACATAACATATTACAAAGTACATATTAACTTTGTTCCACTAGTCAAAACGCAGAGTCAACATAGCTTCAGACTAACAGCTCGTCATACTGCCAACTCATGTTTCAGATATAAAATCCTCATCAGTATCTGGAAGTTTAGGTTAACTATACAAAAGATAATTTAACAATGACAGTCAAAGACTAACATGAAAATTGTTGACTTACTTTGATTGTTTACGTAGTTCAGCAATATATTGATAGTTTGGTGTTAAAGATCCATTGGAAGCAATCACAGCCTATAACAAATAAAAGAAACACATTATACAAGATTAAACCCATATTTACCTATCAATATCAGAAATCAAAGATGGGGGAAGTTTCCATTCATATACATGTAATACTATACATATATAAAGATAGAACAAATCATCTGAAAACTAAAAGGAACTATGGCAGTTTCATTTATTGAGAGCAAGGCAATAACTAATCATCAGACAGAATAAATCACAATGGGTTAATGTCTTAAGTGAAAATAGTTTGCCAGGCAAGGTAATATACACCCACTGGCAGCTTTGATTTTAAATACAAATATTAGGCAGTACAGTAACATATACCGGTATGAAATATTCAACCTGCAGACATACACTTCTTTTGAACTTTTTGAGGCAATACTGAATAATATAAGTTTCATCAAAATCTGTAAAGAATTGGGCCTTATAGAGTGGTTACAGGCTAAAAACTTGAATGCGTTTTCAAGAACAAGGGCAATAACTGATATTAATTATATTTCGATTATTCTGATTTTCAATAGGGTTCATTTTTGGGTGATTACAAACAACGTCGAAATCAATCCAGAATTGTGCCTTGTAGAGTGTTTACGGGCAATTGTGGACTGACGGAAAGACGGACGGACAGGTTGGTGACAATATACCCCCCCCCCCCCAA